GAGGCACCGAATTTCATCTAACAACATTGGCTCTCGTGATTACAGGCGGCTACGTAATAGGATATTAAATAAGAGTAAATTTTCTATCCTTTTGCTCTTCAATTAATTTGAGGTATTAACATCTGCTGATAAAGCGGAATGTTTCGCCCGTAAATTCTCTTTAAACTCTACTCATGACTAAACTGGAGAATCTTTGCCTAACTGTCCACAACTAAATCTCTGTTGAGTGATATACATTTAACCCCTTCTATGGTTTCTGCTATCATCTCTAATCTGGATCTCCACAAAGCATATGGACCTGATAGCATTTCTGTAATAGTCCTTAAGAAGTGTGCTCCCGAACTGGATCCTGTTCTCTATAAACTGTATAATAAATGTCTCGTTGCCTCTTGCTTTCTTGTTTGTTGGAAATACTCATCTGTTGTCCCAGTTTTTAAAAACTCAGATCAACCGTCTGACCCTTCCAACTATCGGCCTATTCGTCTTCTAATCAACACTGAACTGGTTAAGCATCTCACATCGCAGGGCATTTTCTCAGACAAGCATCATGACTTTTCTTTCTCTAGGTCAACTGATTATATATTGACGATCATTGCTTAAAGAGTCTATCAAGTTCTTGATAAGAATGGTGAAGCCTGGGCTGTTGCTTTAGACATCTCGAAAGCGTTTGATTTGAAAAAATTGCGATACCTATGTACCTTGAATTTAACTTTTTTTGTTTGTTTGGAATTAAAATGATTGTTCATAGAAATAGCGTTTATTTAAATCTCTTGAGAATTCAAGTATGCATCTTTCCCTTGCTCCAGCGAAACCTTACATCTAGCCGGAATCGTCCTGGGAAAATATCTGTAATTGAGTCGGCAAAAATGTATTGAGAGCCGGGAGAAAATTGTTAGCGAAAGACAGAAAATAAATGTGTGAAAGTGTGTGTCTGTGTGTGAATGCGAGAATTCGTGTATGCTTTCAAAAATAGAGAGAGAGAGGTGGGGGGAGAGAGAAACTGCGTGAGTGTGCGTCTGTCCTTGTCAGAGACAGACGGGGGAGAGAGAGAGAGAGTGAGGGAGAGAAAGTATGTATGAGTGTGTGTAAGCGTTGAGAGAAAGTGTGTGTGCGTGTGAGAAGAAGTGTGTATATGCGAAAGAGTGCGTGCGTGTCTGAGTGCTTGCGAAAAAGATAAAAAATATACAGGCTCTTACAGCAAAAATTGTCCAAATCGTGTAACAGCAGAATTGTCCAATTGTTAGATTAAGCTTTGAACCGTTGTATCTTAGAAATGATTAAAGATATTTTATTGGAATTCTCCGAGTTTTTATAATTGTATTGGGCTCTTGTTTGACCAATAAGAATGTATAATTACCCCCCCCCAATCTTAACAGAAGTATCGTGATGATATCGATCATAAACGAAAATGACATGTTCATCAATAATTAATTATAGCTAAGGGTCGGAAGCTCATGAAGGACTGTAATAAAGTTCACACACACACACACACACACACACACACACACACACACACACACTAACATATATATAATTATTTATTTAAAAATATGATTCCAACACGCTACATAAGAGTTTTCATGTTTCAAAACAAGAGCCGAAAACTTCAATATAATTATTTGAATTAAATTGAATTAAAGTAATAAGCTCTGTTCCATCTTCAAGCGAAATTTTTTTTGGAATAACTTATTTCTGAAATTTACGTGTTTTATAAGCATATTCATTATTGAAATCAAAATTTCTATGGTAACGGCTAATTATAATTATATTTATGCTCTACTTTTGTATCGAGCACTATTTTTTAAAAATAATAACAAAAATACTAAAGAACTTTGGATTATTTACCTAACGAGTTCTTTCCTATTTTCTATATATTTTTCACACACACACACACACACACACACACACACACACACACACACACACACATACATATATATATATATATATGTGAAAAGTGTATATAGATATAAATAAATATATATATGTATAATTATTTATATATTATATGCGCGGTACTTATTAGAAAGCGCTCAATATCAGAGATATAGCTAACATATTTGGTTGGATAGATGTGAGTTTGTGACCCTGGGTTTCACGCTTTAGCGATCGTCAGAAAAAGTGATTAATGTTTTAAAAAAATTGGGTTTATGTAGATTGCGTGTATTGGTGTTATTGTGGAAGTGGTGGGGGAAATTTCGTCGTTTTGTCATTCATCGTACTAACGCAAACATCGATGTATGCAGACACATATACATACTTGGTCGTCCGTCGGGACTCATATATATATAAACATATGTGGGCAGTTTCGGTTATGACACATGTATGTATACTGGTGGTGTTATATCTATACATACGCATTTTTATGTTGAAATTTTTAAATTTAAACATTGGAAGTGTGGCGGAAATGTCTCGTTAATGTATACATGTCATATGTATTTTCCCGCTGAAAAAATTTCCTCGCATGTATGTATATGCGTGTGGTGGGGTTTGTGTAAAATTATGATAGGTAAAAATTATTATTATTTATATTTATTTTTAAATTTTTGAAAAAAATGGGGGTTTATTTGTTATATTTAAAGCTGGTTATTTGTTTGTTTTTGGTGACTGTGTATATGTAACAAGTAGAAATTTGTAATCCTTATTGGTTAATTTATATGGTGATGTTTAGTTTAATATTCAATGTGCTGGGTGAGAGGGTAGTTCAATTTAATAACGGGTCTATATGATATGATGTGATAGTAATGTTTCAAGGGATTGGAGACAATGATAGTTAGCTAATAGTTATTGTAAATTGGTAGAAATTGTAAATTGGTAGAAATGATTAGTAACGGTGGTGGGAGAATGATAAAACCATGAATGTACTTATAGTGGTGGTAGCTTGAACTAAAAAGTGGTTGTTGGTGTTTTATTTTACTTTTTATTTTTTTGTTATATGTATTAATTTATTTTGGTATAAATCCTGATAATAGGTATTCTGTGTAAAATTATGGTAGTTGAAGATTGCTATAATTTTTAATTTTTAATTACAAAATTATTATTGTTATTATATAAAAGCTGCCCGGTAATAGGTGTTTATTCTCATGGTTACATATGGAAATTATATCTGATCATATTCTTTTAAGGTATTAAATATGCTGGGGGAGTAATAAAGATTGTAGTGGATTTATATGTTAATAGTGGATGTGATGTGTAAGTGATGGTGCTGTGCGTTGGTGGTAATGATAATATTGTTAGTTAAATGGTATTGTAGTAAAAGTGGTTACTAATGGTGGTGCAATTATAATAATGATAGATGCAATTATTTTGATGGTATCTTGAAATTAAATTGTGATTGTTGGTGGTTTGTCTGTTTTATCCTTTTGGTATGAATTCGAATAATAGGTACTTGTTCTCATGCCTACATTTGGAGATTATCTCTGATTTTTTGTTTAGTAAGTTCTTTTGCGGTTTGTGTGATATTATTGCTACTTTTCCGTGTAGGCAAAGTAGGCATTTTTTCGTAATGTTGTTGTAGGCAGGGCTTTTTTCAATATTTCCCAACTTATTGTTGGTGTGATGTTTTGTCTTTTGCTGCCATATGTATGTAGAAAGTGTTGTGCTGTTCGAATATTTCCTGTTGTTGAATGAAAGGTTGTGATTGTTATTCCTCATTTTGAATGGACCTTCGGTGGCACCGATGTAGTGCATAGTGTTGTTGTTTGTACTTACCTTGGCCATGTATATAGTGTTCGTAAGTTGGCAATTTCCCTGGAGTGGACATGTTGTTCTGTTTTTGCAGTTGCATATTGGATCCTTGGTTACATTTTTGTAGGTTGTCATTTTTTTGTTGTGGCTTTTGATTATTTCTGTTATATTTTTTGTACAGCTGTAACTGATCTTTACGTTATTTTTGTTAAATATTTTTGATAATTTGTTTTCTTCAGTGAAGTGTTTTTCTATTAAGTTTAGGAATATTTTGCCTATGTTCGTTTTAACAGTTTTGTTATATGGTGGATTAAACCAGATAATGTTTCTCTTTCTGTTTCTGCGTTTTGGCTGTGGAGGTATATATTGTAGTTGTTGTGTGTAACCACGTGCTTTTAGTGCTTCGTTGTATGGTGCTTTTTTGCTATTGAAAATGTGTATGTTAGATGAGTTCTCAGATAGTCTGCGGCTGATTGATTTTGGTATTTGTTTGATGATAGAAGGTGGATGGTTGGAGGATGTGTGTACGTAAGTTGGGGTGTCATTTTCTTTTTTCTATGGTTCATATGTGTTGTTGATCAGGTTAAGAGTGACGTCAAGGAAGTTTACTATTTTTGTGCCTGTATTTATCTCTATTTTGAATCCAATGTTTTTTAGGGCGTTCATTATTTTCTTCCTGAATTTGTCTACTTTGGGGCCATTGGATTCCCTTATTAAGATAAGACCGTCATCTCTGTATAATTCTGTGTCCTTTCTCTCCAGGATTCTGGCCAGGTATGATAGAATGAGTATGCCTACTAATTCGCATATTTTGATCCATCGTAGCTACTCATTGTTACGTCAAACAGGTTGTGGTTTTGTTTCTTTGCCCATGGTTCATTGTTGTGGAACAGCAGGGATTTGCGGTAATGCTTGATTATTTTTATATCACCGTCCGTGAGTTTTACATTTAGCTGTGCCAGTTGTACGGCTTCATTTAATATGCTTTGTCATTTTCCAACTTATTCAAGATGATCTTAGCCCTCTCCAACCTTCTAACTTTCTGTCCAGGAGTAACAAGTTGCCTCACACGTTTCACGTACAATTTCATTTTCAAGTCTTTTTTCATTGATCTTTTGACTGTCATAGCTGAAACTCCTCTCTCACGTCAAACGTCTTATAGATTGAGTTGGGTCTTTTCTAATTGATTTATTTAACGCTAAGTTGAAATGATGATCCCTCTTCCTATTGTGACCTGATCCAGTTTTCCTCTCTACTGTTCCCTCTTTTTTAAACTTATTCACCGTTCTCTTGATGTTTGCTGAATGGACTTTGATGATAGAAGCCAGAGTATGAATATTGGTACCATTACTGATAGCCTGAATGATCTTTATCCTCTCACCATTGCTCAGTTGGGAAGACAGTGGGCCTGACACAAAACGATTTTAACCTGTTTTCTTTCTAGCTGAATAACGCAAAGGGTTTTTCAGTGATTCTTACGACAAATGGTGTAAAGATGACTAAACGTCTTATCTAAAAACCTGTAAAAAAAGAAACGGTATATATGTGTTCAAAAAGTTTGTTCCGTTGAACTTTATAAGTTTTATGAATAAAAGCTGAATTTTCGACACTCGTATGCTCGAACATTTCCCAGTGGAATTGTAGCATCATAAAATGGAACACCTTAAAGGAAGCATTAATAACAGCGTCTAAAGAAACCTTCCCAAGGGAATAGAGGTTAAAAAATCGACATCTAATGAGAGATAGATAATACCAAAGAAATGGCTTAGAAAAAAATGTAGAAAAATAAGTTGAAGGAAGCGGAAAATGAATGGCTCAAGATGAACTATGCAGAGATAGGGGAAAAAAGCGAAATAACTACACAATGTCGACATGGCAAGCAGGTAGAAAATATAAAAACTAACAGGACAGATATCGTGAATAAAATCCCTCCTTTAAAAGAAAGCAGACGATCACAGCAGAAAAATAAAAGATCCTTTTGAGACAGAAAGAATAAATCGGTGAACTCTTTTATGACAAGAGAGATAAATGTATATACTAAATAAAAACACGGTAATAACGTTATATCGACATCTCAGGGTAGGTCAGCGCTGCTTTCTGATCAGTCCACTTATTCTTTACAAGCTGAAAAGGCGGACTCTGGGAGATCTTGTTTTTGAATTTTTCCAAATCTCTGCTGAACTTTAAAACTTCCCGTCATAAAAGTTCTCATTTTAACTCTGATTCCTTGACATTTTGAAGAAATAAAATTGATTTCCTCGTTAGACAAAGTTTTGGAAATATTTTAAACTGAATTTAAAATAAAACTTTTTTAAATTCACAAATTTTTGTTGTTAATTTAAACACAATATAAATTATAAAAATATTTAAAACCTTTAAAAATTTTAGTCTTCTCGGGTTAACATTTTCAGCTGACATGATGTAAGAAAACTATATTGAATCCATTGCTAGGACACCTTCTAAGAAAGTTGTTTCACTGTGTTGTACGAGAGCAGAATCTGTCTTACATATCTATAAATCTACCATTCGTCCATGCTTAGAATATTGCTGCTGCATATGGTCTGGTCTCCTTGCTATTTACCTTGAGCTCCTTGATAAAATCTAAAGAAGAATGTGCAATATTATTGGTCCTGATCTGGTCGCTCGGCTTCAGTCACTTTCCCATCGTTGTAAATTTGCCTCTCTATGCCTTTTTTTTTTTTTTTTTTATAAATACAGTAATTGTTCGGATGTTTTTATGCCCGTTGAAAATTTTTATATATCTGAAATTAAAAGTGAATATTCGTAACGATGTGTCACATAGGAAGAAAATGTGTATAAATAGCGGTGTCAGGCTACTGACTGCGGTGATCATTGATGAGGTCCCCGCTATGGTACCCCGACTTTATGAATTTAAGGGCAGTACTAGACTGGCGTCAAGATCTCATCAATTTACAGTTGAGCCGGCTAGATGTAACCGTTAATGTCAGGTTAACATTTTTTTATTTCTCGTACTTCTCACTTGTGGAACTTCCTTTCGGCTCAGTGTTTTCCAGTTAACTTTTATCTGCATAACTTGATATGCAATCTCAATCGCTATCTACTGTCCTCCTAATTACCTGATTTCTCTTCTCGCTTATTAATAATGTTTCTGTTCCTGATTCTTCCACACCCTGTTGCGTTTTAGTGACTTTATTGCCTTGCACAGAGTGATACTGATTAAAAAATCACTAATTTTTTTTTAAACTTTTAATTTTTGACATTTCCTTCCTCATCCTGACATAAATCCCAATGCTGGATGTTCAAGTCAAGCATCAGATAAATGGAGATTTTTTGTTGTTACGGGATCATCCTGATTCTAAAAAGGTATAATATGTCTCTGTAGAGCAAGTATGGCCCGAGTTAGAGGAGTTTCAGATACATAGACAGGCAGACAGAATTTGCTGTTCATTTATTTAGACATGTTTTTGCCTGTTCTTAAGTCTTCGTGGAGGCACGGTGGAATAATGAATAACAGCTCAGATTGAGGAATTGGAGAGCCAAGTTCGAATTCCAGTCGAATCCATTACGTGAAAGATATTAATCCTCTTCTCCCACCAGCTATGGGTAAATATGATCTGGTGCCCTTGCTATTTACTTAGATCTCCTTGGTAAAATCCAAAGAAGAATCGGCAATATTATTGGCCCTGATGTGGCGGCTCGGCTTCAGTCACTTTACCACCGTCGTAAGGTTGACTCTCTCTGTCTTATCTATAAATACTTTCAATGGTAATTGTTTAGATGAGATCCTCTCTATGCTATCTAGAGTTTTTGAATTTAAGCTAAGTACTAGACCGGCGTCGAGATCATATCAATTGACATCTAAGCTGGCTAGATATAACCGTAAGTTCTATGCTAACAGTTTCTTCTCTCACACTTCTTGCTAGTGGAACTCTCTTTCAGTTTCATGCTTTTCAGTCAACTTTAATCTTCAAAACTTCTTGATATATGTATATATATCATTATTTCATGTACTTCTAAGGAATTAATGGATTTTATTTCTAATCTGACATTATATCTCATTATTCTAAATGTTATGATAGCAGATACCCATATAAACGCACTACCAGACTGGCGATGAGGTCACACCAAATTACGGTTGAGTTGGCTAGATGTAACCGTAAGTTCTATGCTAACAGTTTCTTCTCTCGCACTTCTTGCTTGTGGAACTCTCCATGCTTTCCTGTCAACTTTAATATACAAAAATTCAAATGCAATCTTAATCGTTATCTACTATCGTTTTTATTACTTTTTCCTCCTTCCACTCATTATTAATGTTTCTGTTCCTAATTCCTCCACACCCTGTAATACCTTGTGTTTTAGTGACTTTACTAGCTTTCATGATACCGATTACAAATAAGATATTCCGTTAGTGTAGATATAGTTAAAAATAAGAATTTCTTCTGACGCTTATTTATCGGTAAATCATGTCAATAGAGAAGTTTTTTGTAATCGAATTCACCCCATGAAAGCTAGTAAAGCCACTAAGACACATGGGATTACAGGTTATGAGTAGATAAGAAAACAAAAACATTATTGGGGAGCTAGAACAATAGAAGAGTGATTAGGAAAACAGTAGATAACGATTGACGTTGCATTTAAATTTTTGAAGATCAAATTTGACTGAGAAGCAAGAAGCCAGAAGAGACTTCCACAAGCAAAAAGTGCGAGAGAAGGAACTGTTAGCATAGAACTTACGGTTACATCTAGCCATTTCAACTGTAAACTGATGGGACCTTGTTGCTAATCTAGTACTGCGCTTAAATTCATAAAGTTCCGGTACCACAGTGAAGAGCTCATCCGAACAATTACCATAAAAATATTTATAGAAAAGGCACAGAGGGTCAACCTTACGACGGTGGGAAAGTGACTGAAGCCGAGACGACAGGTCAGGACGAATAATATTGCAGCTTCGTCGTTGGTTTTTTATCAAGAATCTCTATATATAAAGGAGGAGCACCGGGTCATATGTGTTGTGACCAAGTAAATGGTTAAGAAATAATAAAACAAGAGATTGCAGATAAATAATGTATTGGACAGTAAATGCAACAGAAGTGTCTTAGACGACTTGGGAGTGTGTGTCGGTTGACCAGCGTTCAGTCTATATCAACCCTTATATTTAGTAGCCCCCCACACGAGAGATATATGTGGCACAAGGCCGAGTTTAACATGGGTCATCCGAGCCCATAGGCTCGGCCAAAAAATCCCCGTAGAAGCTGCATAAACGGGTTCGGGTATGTCTACCTCCCCAGACGAGACTGCTCTTCGGCACAGCCTCGTCCGGGTTCCCCTGAGTCCAACGCAGAGAGTTCGACAGGAGCTGCGAACAGTCACAGTCTCGGTAGAACAGCCTATATCACTGTTAATATTTAACACCCCCCCCCGGGGGGATATATGTGGCACAAGACTGAGTTAAACGTGGGTCATCCGAGCCAATAGGCTCGGCCAAAAAATCCCCGTAGTACCCACATAAACGGGTTCGGGTCTGTCTATCTCCCCGGACGAAACTCACAGCCTCCTTTCTACCCAAGGTAGAGAGTTCGACAAGAGCTGCGAACAGCCTCGTAGAACAGTCTGTGTCACTGTCCCCCCCCCCGAGGCTTACTACTTTATAGTAAGTGGAAGCGTCCACAATAGCCTCTTTAGAGAGAAGACACCACAACAATATGTATCAGCAATATTCTAAACATAGACAAATAGTAGACCTATAGATATATAAGATAGATTCAGCGGAGAAAAATTCTTTAGCCCGACACAGTGAACCAATTTTTCTTAGCAGCAGACCGAGTAATGGATTCAATATAGTCTTTCCATTTCGTGTTAGCTGCGAATGATAGCCCAAGAAAAAGCGACGTGCAACTTTCCTAAAGCTTAGGAACAGCATGCTGATGGATTCCAGGGAGGAGTCTCTCAGATGATTACAGAATTTAGTTTAGTTTTGGAGACGTTAAAATTAACAAGTCATTACTTGCCTCACTTAACAACAGATTGTAGGTCGTTTTTGAGATCAGCCATCAATTTGACCTTATCGAACTGATCCGACTTAGTATCAAGAATGAAGTAAATGGTTGGGTCATCAGCATATATATATATATCAAATTGAGAGCTGATATATATATATATATATATATATATATATATATATATATATATATATATATATATATATAGTGCTGTTCGATAAAAGTGATTCAACTGATTTTTTTTACTAAAAATATTTTTTGTCTATTGTTTTTGGGGTTAAAATAGAAGAATGTTCTCTTCTCCGATGAAACGAAAGTTGAGCTAAATTCAAAGGATAAGCGATCTAAAATCCAAAGAAGCTTTGAAAGCTCTTTGAATTTAGCAGTAAGTACTGTCAAGCATCCGTTCAGTATAATGTTCTGGGGATGCTTTTCTTTTCATGGAACTGGTTTCTTAAAACCTATTGAAAAGACCCTCAGGAGCGAGCAGTACAAGAGAATTTTAGAGTCTTGTCTGCTTCCTTCTGCTGAAAGGGTGCAAATCGACCCCACCAAGCTCATTTTTATGCAGGATAATGCTCTCTGTCACAAATCAAAAATGATCAAGGAATACTTTGATGAGAAGCAGGTGAGTGTTATGACATGGCCGCCCCAATCTCCTGACCTCAACCCCATAGAAAACTTATGAAGCATTATAAAGTACAGGCTCTCGAGAAAGCAGTTGAGCAACAAATAGGATTTGATTGTGAATTTCATATCCGAATGGAATTCAATGCTTGGAGATGAGATTTGCCAGAACCTAATCAAGTCAATGCCAAAAAGGGTTGAAAATGTTATTCAAAATAAAGGAGGACCCATAGATTATTAAATATTTCAAACTATATCACCTATTATAAATAAATTATACCTCTATTATTCTTTATTTAAAGCTGTTTGGTTATGTTTCTATTGATTACTAGTTGCAGGAAATAAGTGAGTCACTTTTTTTGCACAGAGTCTTTCCCTAAATCTCATTTATATCCAAAATTATAATTATCAATAGAATACCTTAGGATGAGTAAACTTTTTACTAGGTGGTCGGGAAGGGGTCTTTACATTAGCAAGACTAAAAATTAGTTTGACCCCAAAAGCAATAGGCGAAAAAATTTTGAAGTAAAAAAAAACAGGTGAACCACTTTTATCGAACAGCACTATATATATATATATATATATATATATATTTTAAACGAGTTAGATCGTTCGCTTTCTGACTATGAGACCCGGGTATGAATCTTACCATGATCGATTTACCAGGAATCTAAATAGTTGATGTTATCAGGCTTGAGAAGGCGATTCCAGTATTCGGCACGTTTGGAAAGTGCCTTGGCACAAAACTTATGAGAGAAATTTGGTAGACAACACCCTTGAGAGCCGTCGGTGGTTTTACTGGCACGAAGTTAGAAGTCACCGTGACCGAGAGTGCTGGTCTTTTTAAGAATGTTGATCACGCTAGATAACGTGCTCTCTCCCCGAAACTGTAACTAAGGTCCGCTCAGCATAGTTGCAGTATAGACCACAGGTGCTCTTTGTGGGTGTTGAACAAACACAAATGTTCCTGAGCAGGAGTCTGTAATGGGGATTAGCCTACCACCCTAGTAGACTGACATCCTCAGATTCCAGTCTACTAGGGCGGTAGGCTAATAAGATATATATAAGATAAATATATATAAGACATATATGATATACAAGGTAAAATATATATATATATATATATATATATATATATATATATATATATATATATATAAACATATATATCTTCTGAAAAAAATGAAAGTATAAATTTTCTTGCGTTTTTGCATCAGAAAATGGCATACGTTTTTCGCATTCACCAATATGGTGAATTAGCTCCCTTGTTTAAAAGATATAACTTTCTTGCATAATGTGTTTTCAGGTCATTTCCTCCCAATTTTCTAATTCTACAAACGGCTACTATGGGACGCTCTCCAACACTCTCTCTCTCTCTCTCTCTCTCTCTATATATATATATATATATATATATATATATATATATACGGCGATATCTTTTCTCGCCCTTTCTTCCCTTACTTGTCCGTTAATACGACCACAAAGTAAATCTCTCCCAGAAGATTGCGTTTTTTTTTCACCATGGGAAACGCATTAACATCACACACACACACACACACACACACACACACACACACACACACACACACACACGCCCGCCCGCACGCACAAGCGTACGTACGCACATTTCCTCACTTTTTATTGTTTTTGTCATTTGTAACTTTTTGTTCATATTAATTTGTTTGTATTAGGTTGGTGCAAAAATAATGACGTAATAATGTCGTTTTTGACGTTAAAATACGTCAAAAAACGACATTATTATGTCATTATTTTTGCACCAACCTAATACATATATATCGGTTCTTGTTTCTTCTCATTTCTTTAGGTGTAATCAAACCATGTTTGCTGTAGGCATTTCAGGAGACACACGTGTTTATCTCAAAACGCGTACAGTTTTTCGCAACACGTTCATGTACAAACCGACAGGTTTATTTGTCGGTATTTCAGTTTTCGTGAGATTGGATCTGAGTTCCAGTTAAAATGCTCGTGAGCCTCAGTGGGTGCATTTCCAGTATAGGCAAAAATATTGATTTCCTAACGAGGATCATCGATACGATTTGATGCTCTCAACTGTTACGGTGATCGAAGTTGTAATACTGATGATAGTTGTATTAACAGGAGTCGATCTAGAAGGCATATAACATTTCTTTGTAGCTGTGGTTATTTTTCTAGATGGATCTTCGTCGATCTTTTTTCTGTTTACTTATATTTTTGTTTTATTGACAAATTGAAAATTTTCTTCATCTTTTCTTACATACACTTTTTTTGATTTGATATCCTTTCTTGTCCTCATCATTTAATTTCGAATTCTTTTTCGGCCTCGTCTTTTTATTTGGAATTCTTTCTCGGCCTCTCCCTTTTTATTTGGAATTCTTTCTCGCCGTCTCCCTTTTTATTTGAAATTATTTTTTGGTCTCTCCATTTTTGGTCTCTCCTTTTTTATTTGAGATTCTTTCTTGGACTCTCCCTTTTTATTTGGAATTCTTTCTTGGCCTCTCCCTTTTTATTTGGAATTCTTTCTCGGCCTCTCCCTTTTTATTTGGCATTCTTTCTCGGCCTCTCCCTTTTTATTTGGAATTCTTTCTCGGCCTCTCCCTTTTTATTTGAGATTCTTTCTCGGCCTCTCCCTTTTTATTTGGTATTCTTTCTTGGCCTCTCCCTTTTTATTTGGAATTCTTTCTTGGCCTCTCCCTTTTTATTTGGTATTCTTTCTCGGCCTCTCCCTTTTTATTTGGAATTCTTTCTTGGCCTCTCCCTTTTTATTTGAGATTCTTTCTCGGCCTCTCCCTTTTTATTTGGTAATCTTTCTTGGCCTCTCCCTTTTTATTTGGAATTCTTTCTCGGCCTCTCCCTTTTTATTTGGTATTCTTTCTCGGCCTCTCCCTTTTTATTTGGTATTCTTTCTCGGCCTCTCCCTTTTTATTTGGAATTCTTTCTCGGCCTCTCCCTTTTTATTTGGTATTCTTTCTTGGCCTCTCCCTTTTTATTTGGAATTCTTTCTCGGCCTCTCCCTTTCTATTTGAAATTATTTTTTGGTCTCTCCCTTTTTGGTCTCTCCTTTTCTATTTGAAATTCTTTCTTGGACTCTCCCTTTTTATTTGAAATACTTTCTTGGCCTCTCCCTTTTTTTATTTAGAATTCTTTCTTCGACTTTTCCATTTCTATTTTGAATTCTCACTTAGCCACTCATTTCTTATTCCGAATTCTGTTTCGGACTTTCCATTTTTATTTGGAATTTTTTGTTGGCGTGTTCCTTTTTATTTGGAATTCTTTTTCACGCCTTCTCCCTTTTTATTTGCAATTCTTTCTTGGCCTCTCCCTTTTTATTTGCAACTCGTTTTTAGTCTTTTCCTTTTTATTTGGAATTCTTTCTTAGCCTCCCTTTTTTATTTGGAATTCTTTCTCGGCCTCCCTTTTTATTTGGAATTCATTCTTAGTCTTTTCTTTTTTTATTTCGAATTTTCACTTAGCCACTCATTTCTTATTCCGAATTCTTTCTCGGCCTATCCCCTTTTTATTTGGAATTTTTTCTTGGCCTCTCCCTTTTTTTTTGAAATTCTTTCTTGGCCTCACACTTTTTATTTGGTATTTTTCTTGGCCTCTCCCTTTTTATTTGAAATACTTTCTTGGCCTCTCCTTTTTATTTGTAATTCTTTCTCGCCCTTTGCCTTTTTATTTGCAATTCTTTCTTGGCCTCTCCCTTTTTATTTGGAATTATTTCTTAGTCTCCTTTTTTATTTGTAATTCTTTCGTAGCCTCTCCCTTTTTATTTGGAATTCTTTCTTCGACTTTTCCATTTCTATTTTGAATTCTCACTTAGCCACTCATTTCTTATTCCGAATTCTGTTTCGGACTTTCTATTTTTATTTGGAATTTTTTGTTGGCGTGTTCCTTTTTATTTGGAATTCTTTTTCACGCCTTCTCCCTTTTTATTTGCAATTCTTTCTTGGCCTCTCCCTTTTTATTTGCAACTCGTTCTTAGTCTTTTCCTTTTTATTTGGAATTCTTTCTTAGCCTCCCCTTTTTATTTGAAATTCTTTCTTGGGCTCTCCCATTTTATTTGCAATTCTTTCGTGGCCTCTCCCTTTTTATTTGGAATTCTTTCTCAGTCTTTTCCTTTTGTATTTCGAATTCTCACTTAGCCACTTATTACTTATTCCGAAATCTTTCTTGGCCTCTCCCATTTTATTTGAAATTCTTTCTTGGCCTCTCCTTTTTATTTGAAATTCTTTCTCGCCTTTTGCCTTTTTATTTGCAATTCTTTCTTGGCCTCTCCCTTTTTATTTGGAATTCTTTTTTGGTCTCTCCTTTTTATTTGGAATTCTTTCTCAGTCTTTTCCTTTTGTATTTTCAATTCTCCTTAGCCACTTATTACTTATTCGAAATCTTTCTTGGCCTCTCCCATTTTATTTGAAATTCTTTCTTGGCCTCTCCCTTTTTATTTGAAATTCTTTCTCGCCTTTTGCCTTTTTATTTGCAATTCTTTCTTGGCCTCTCCTTTTTATTTGGAATTCTTTTTTGGTCTCTCCTTTTATTTGGAATTCTTTCTCAGTCTTTTCCTTTTGTATTTCAATTCTCCTTAGCCACTTATTACTTATTCCGAAATCTTTCTTGGCCTCTCCCATTTTATTTGAAATTCTTTCTTGGCCTCTCCTTTTTATTTGAAATTCTTTCTCGCCTTTTGCCTTTTTATTTGCAATTCTTT